AACCCTAATTTAAAAATATGGGCCAAGCCCAAATTATCTAACCCTAAGCTAATTCCCTCTTTCTCTCGCCGCTTTCTTTCACTCAAACTCTCTCTCTTCTCAGTTTCTCTCTCTTCTCTCCTCTCTTTTCTCTCTCTAACTCTTGAAGATTGAAATAAAAATTCTTGAACCTTGAAGATTGAAGCTTCATCTCAAACATTCTGAAGGTAATAATCCTATTATTCGATTTTTTATGAGTTTGTTTGCTCATGAGTCATTTGTTTATGCAATTTCCTTGATTTGGTTATGCAATTTTCAGATTTCTTTGATTTTTTAATGCGATTTTTTGCTATTATGGTTTATGTATGCTTTGTTTATGTGATTTAATCATTTAATGTTGTTCGTTTGTTATTTTCTTACTCTGCAATTTCTTTCGAAGATTTGATTTGTTATTTACTTATTTTGCGATTATTTGCGATTTGTTTATGCGATTTTTGCCCTGATTTGATTTTCTTACTCTGCAATTTCATGAGTTTGATTCTTTATGTCATGACTCATGAGTTTATACTTCTGTTTTTCATGTTTATACTTCGGATATGAGTGTAATTCTTTTTTTAATTTATTCACAGATGGCTAATAGCCCTAATCCTGATGAACCCATTGATCTTCCGGATTCTGATTCAGATGATGAAGTTTCTGATTCTCATCAAACGGAATCAAAGAAGAAAACCTCTAATGTCACCTCGCTGAATAAGCCTGGAATTCATTTCAAGCGCCAACGAAAGCTCACTTCAGATGTGTGGGCAAATTTTGAATTCCTTGATAAACCTGACGAACAAGGTAACATCATTTGCATGTGTAAAAAATGTGGGCAGAAATATAATGCTGAAAGTAGGCAAGGAACTGGTAATTTAAAACGCCACATTAAGAAATGTAAAAAAAGGACCTTTAAAGATGTGGGTCAGATGATTATTGATTCAAGCAGTTCTGGTTCTATGATGAATAGGGTTCCTACAATTGATTATGATATTGTTCGTGAGATGTTGTCTATTGCTGTGGTGAAACATGATTTGCCTTTTCAGTTTGCTGAATATAGTGCTGTTAGGAAGTTGATTAATTACATAAATCCTGATGTTAAACTTGTGTCTCGAAATACTTTGAAGGCTGATGTTCTGAAAATGTTTAAGAGGGAAAAAGATAAACTTAAGGAGGAGTTGAGTGTAGTTAAGGGTAGGATTTCTCTTACATCTGATTGTTGGACTTCAATTACTACTGATGGTTACATGTCTTTGACTGCCCATTTTGTTGATAATCAATGGAATTTGCAAAAAAAAATTCTGAACTTTCGTTTTTTGCCTCCACCTCACACCGGTGTCCATATGTCTGACCATGTCTATGATTTTCTTAAAGAGTGGGGTATCCAAAAGAAAATCATGTGTATTACTCTTGATAATGCTTCCTCTAATGATGTGCTTGCTGATGTAATTAAAAATGAACTTGATTTGGTATGTGGGGGGGATTATTTCCATGTGAGGTGTTGTGCACATATCCTAAATTTAATTGTGCAAGATGGGTTAAAAGAAATTAATGAGGCTGTTGTTAAGGTGAGAGAAACTGTGAAGTATTGTAAAGGGTCTCAGGCTAGAAAGCAACGTTTTTTGACTTGTGTGGCACATGTTGAACTAGACTCAAGTAGAGGATTGAGACAAGATGTCCCTACTAGATGGAATTCAACTTATTTGATGTTAGAGAATGTTTTGTACTACAAAAAAGCTTTTCTTCATTTTCAAAAGGTTGATGCCAATTACATTCATTGTCCAACAAATGAGGAGTGGGGGAGAATAGAGAAGTTATTTAGATTTTTGAAGGTCTTTTTTGATGTGACAAATGTTTTTTCGGGTACTAATTATCCTACCGCTAATGTATACTTCCCAAATGTGTTGAAAATCCGTTTACTCTTGAAAGAGGAGCTTGAAAATTCTGATAACTTCATGCATAAGATGGCAGCAAGAATGAATGAGAAATTTGCTAAATATTGGACCAACTTTAGCATAATCATGGCTGTGGCTGTTGTTTTAGACCCTCGATTTAAGTATGAGTTTGTGGAGTGGGCTTTTAAGAAGGTGTATGGGGAAATAGAGGGTACTAATGAGTTGGTGAAGTTCAAGGAAAGGTTGGATTATTTATATGGTGTTTATGTGACTGAGGCTTCCACAACAACACCACGAACAAGGCGCCGTTCTTCTAGACAGCCTAATGAAGAGCAAGTTGATGTTGCTTCTGATTCTTTTATGATGGTAACTGTGAACACTTGCTTTTTGTTTGATAATCAACTTTAAATTCTGTTTTTTGTATGCTTTATTGTAATTTTTGTTTAAACATCTTTTAGGACTTTGATAACTTCTCTTCTAGCAAATCATATGTTGCTGCTAAATCTGACTTGCAAATCTACTTGGAAGAGCCATTGATTCGTCGTGCAACCAACATTAATATTCTATATCATTGGAAAACAAATGTTGTGAGGTATCCAATTCTTTCAAAGATGGCAAGGGACATCCTTGCAATCCCTATTTCAACAGTAGCTTCAGAATCTGCCTTCAGTACTGGTGGTCGAGTTTTGGACTGCTATAGAAGCTCTTTGAAACCAAACACAGCAGAAGCTATCATTTGCCTCAAAGATTGGACTTTTGGTGAAGGTATGAAAATAGTTTATGTATTTAAAATTACAATTTTTTTTGTTTCTTTTTTGTACTATTTTATTTATGCTTAAGGCTGAAATTAACTTTTGTATGTATTCTTTTGGTTGTAGCTAATATGGATCCGCAATTGCAAGATTTATGTGGAAAAATCATGGCCATGAAAGTCAACGATGATGTGGGGGATACTCCCAGCCCCAGCCCTCCACAAAGTGCACCAGAAAGTCCTGCTGTCATGGAGAGTCAAACCTGATTATGTTGTTAATTTCTTCTAAAATTAGTTGATGAAACTGTTACTGTTATTTTGGACATGTATTTGGTTTTCTAGTTGAACTTTTATTTGCCTACTTGGAAGTATTTTGGACATGTAACTCTTGAATTATGTTGTTAAGTTATGTTTGCTTGAATTATGTGTTGAATTTGAAGTCTTGAATACTTGAATCTTACAGGTTAAAGAAATTAGTCAAATTACAGGTTAAAAAAATTACAGTATAAAGAAATTAGTAAATTACAGGTTTTTATTTTATTTTTTTTTAATTAAAAAAAAATCAGGTTTAGGCGGGTCGGGTTCAGGTCGACCCGTTTATAATCAGGTTGGGTTCAGGTTGGTTTTTTTGACCTGTTTAAGTAAACAGGTCGGGTTCAGGTTGGGGGGTCCTGACCCGTTTATGTAAACAGGTCGACCTGAACCCGACCCGACCCGACCCGACCTGTTTGCCAGCCCTAGGTGGAGGCATATTTTGTGCCCTCATTGCCTCCATGAGCACTGCCAGCGCTCTCGCCACTTCCTCCAAGCTGGGCCCCATCAAAGGGGTCCTCGGCTGAGTGTGAGAGTGAGAGCGGATGGTCGAAGGTTAGCTTTGGGGCACTGAATGAGTCCTATGATCGGACTGACCTCTGTTAGACCGAGGTGGACTCGGTCTATGAAGAGAGTTGTGAATTACGGGAGAAAGGGAATCCTCCCGGTATGATTCTCCCTCCGAACTGGGACCCTTGGGAGAGTTCCGGTTCGGCGAAGGTGATGGCGTAGGAGTTTTAGGCCTTTCGCCTGCTCCTTGACGAAGGCTTTTGCTCTTGCGATTCTTAGCCATTGTCACTAAGATGATTGCAAGATGATTTTAATTAAAGATTTTTGAAAGTCTTCCCCACAGACGGCGCCAAATTGTTTCGGATGAAAACAATGGGACCTTGCCGAAGGTCCGATGAAGTTGTGAAGACTGGATTCGGTCCAAGTGATGTAGGGCCGAAGGTTTCCTGCACAGCAAACACACTTAAACTAGCCTCAGGGGTGTTGTCGAGGAAGGCCCCTCCGATGCTAAAGTCAGCACAATGTGTAGAGAGAGAAAGCTATGCAAGAGAATTAATTGCTTGAGGCTTTTGTGAATTATCCCACGAATGAATAAATTGAAGGCTTATATACCTTTGCATACAAGGAGGAAGTGGGCCTTGGCCCAATTGACTTGTCTTGTGGACTGATCTTGACTTTAGCACAAATGAGAGTTGAACTTTGACCTTGGACTTTTAATTGGATCATTTAATGACTAGGCCCAATGAGATAATTGGACCCAAATGAATGACTAGGCCCAATTAGATAAATTGGACCCAAACACGAGTAATTCTAAATAAATTTTAGCAGAACACCCTTTTAACTTTATTCTTCCTTTTTTAAAAAGATTTTAGGGTGAAATGATGAAGTATTACTCGTACTAAGCTTGTTGCGGCTCATTTCTCTTCTTGTCAAGGGAAGGAATTTAATAGGTATTATCTCATATAAGAAGAATAGAAGATTGTAAGAAATTAGTTGGGATCAAATTTGTTTTTAATGATCTAAACTAATTTAAATGAACTACGATTATTGATTTTTATTTATATTGTAAGAAATAAATCATTAAAACTCGTTCTCTAAAAAAAAAATCATTAAAACTCAGCTAAACACTTGATAAACCTTACTAATTAAGCTACTTGAACTTCTTCAATTCCAACACAAATTCAAAGCTACCAATGAAATGAGCTGGCACATTTGATTATCAAACTTTTGCCTATCTCCTCCAAATAGTTATTATGTCAAAAGATGGGCTCTACCCAATTGGGATCAATTCATTCAATGAAGAAAATGCAACATAAATTCCGTCTTTATGAAATATTAATTCTTTACATACAAGAGCATATAAGTTACTAATTCACTTATGCTAAGATCATTAAGCTATGAGTCTGATCCACCTATCACATATTTGAAATCAATTTCTTGCAATTCAAATTTTAAAAGTGTTGAGAACCGAAATCAAATTAAACTCTTCTCAAACGCTAGCAATTAGACTCGAATTTTATACTTTTGACTCACTTATCTAATGATCAAACATCAATCATTCAATCAACCAGCCACTAGACCAAACCTACCTGTCAAGATATACATGAGAAACTCATATCAATAAATACAAATATATAAAAGAACTTCACCATAACTTCATCCCCACAATGCCAAAGAGAACTCTGATATATATCATCATAACTATCTTTTAGGCTTTTAGATTTTTGATAGATATCAAAATCTTCCCATTGGTCCACTTGCTCTTTTTCCCCTTGTCTTTTTCCAATATTTTCTCCTCACATTTAGTATGTAAAAGGAAGAGGAAAACAAAGCAAAAAGAGCAACAAAAAAAAAAGGGAAATCCATGTTATGTTATCTCACTTTCTTTGTCTAGAAATTTCCTTGCCCATACCCTTTTTTGTACAAAAAAATTTTAATAAAAAACCCTTATTAAAGAAATAAAGTCCTAAATTTAATTGGTCTAACTTAAATCTTTTTTCTTTGTTGGGTATCTTTCAATATATTCCTTTTTTACTCAAAATATAAATTGAAAGTTCATACTTTTTTTAGCTCATAATATTACACTTTCTAAGATTTTTCATACCCACAAAAATAAATTAGGAAAAATGAAGATTCAATGTGATGTTTGTGAGAAACAAGAGGCTATAGTGTTTTGTACAGCAGATGAAGCAGCACTTTGTGAAGGGTGTGATTATAAGGTGCACCATGCCAACAAGCTTGCTAGCAAACATGCTCGTTTTTCTCTTCTTCTTCCTTCTTTCAAAGATGCTCCTCTTTGTGATATTTGCCAAGTAATTTTCTTATCCTTTTGTTTCATTATATCCTTAACAACTTAAAGATTATGTCAAAAAAAAAATAACAACTTAAAGCTCGTTAAAATGATGTTTTTATTTGGATGCTGATATGGATAACATTTTTTTTTTAATTTGAGTTTCGAGGACAACCCACTATTTTTTGTCTTTGTCGTGTTTTCCACTATTATATTTCTGTTATCGATGTATGGAGTAGAAAACTTTGAATTAGCATCCTAAAACTTTTATTGTTTAATTAATTATAATTTTTGTATTTGTACCATTGTTTAAAGACTATTTTTATTTTTATTTTTTTGCAGGAGAAAAGGGCATTCTTGTTTTGCAAAGAAGACAGGGCAATATTATGCAGAGAATGTGACATACCAATACACAAAACAAATGAACACACACAAAGTCACAATAGATTTCTTCTAACTGGTGTTAAACTCTCAGCTTCATCAGCTACATACCCTACTACTTCTCGTTCGTCTACCTCGTCCGGGCCGAATTCCATGTCACAAACTAGATCATCAGTTACAATATCTAGCTATGATCATGACATGTTTAACCAACACAACACAACCCCATCATCAACAACGACAACAACGACGACGACAAATTATGATCAAATTAATGAAGAGGGTATATCAGAATACCTAATGGAGACTTTACCTGGTTGGAGAGTAGAAGATTTGCTTGACTCTTCTTCAGCTTCCCATAATTTTTGTAAGGTTTGCATTATCCTTCTTTATTTAGTCATTTTTTTTGTTATAAAAAAAATGTGTTACTTTATTCTTTTTGTTTTATGTATACATAAAACTAACTTTCAAAAATTTTAAATAAAATATCAACAACTATAAGCTACAATTATGAGCACATAGTACTTGAGGTCAATCAACTTGTACATTGGTATTGAATTAGAATTAGTTGTCTGCCTTTTTCAATTGACAATAAATTGGTGTTTTTATTTTCTGATTAATTTTGATTGAATATATCTTGATGACTGAAAATTTTAGACGTGGGTCGTTTACTATACACTCAAGTAGTAAATTTTCCTATATGTGTAGGTATGCTATAATTAAACTAGGATATTTTTTTGTTACATTATTACAATTTTTAAATTTTATCATAGTTCCATTGACCATGTCTTTAAAAAGCGCAATTTTAACATTTATTATATGCAACTCCTATAAAAATGGGGTAATGTTATATATAGCCCTAAGGGCTATATATAAGCATTAAATATACTCTTGGAAATTGTATAAAATTAGGAATTCGTGACAAAAAACGCGTAAATCAGTATTATTAGTGTTTATATTTTGATGATTTCTTAACTTTTTACGATTTTCAAGTGTAAATTTAATGCTTATAGGTAGCCCCAATAGCTATGTATAACATTTTCCATAAAAATGAAGGTAAGGTTATATCTAGCCTTTACGGCTATGAATAATCATTTAAAATCTTTTATTAATTTAAGAATAAATTACAAAATCTTGCACAAATCAGTGTAGTTAATGTTATATTTTTATTTGATTTTTTCGTTTTTAACTCTTTATATGTAGCCTTTATCATTAACGTTTTCACTAAAATTATTCATTCTTGGACGGTCTATCATACATTCTCACGTATGAATATGATATGTCCTACAAGGCTACAACTACCAATTATCCAATTTCTTTCAAAATGTTCAAACATTCAGCATGTTTTGCAGTCAATTATAGCACATTATTAGGTGAAGTCAACTTTGGGTCCAAATAAATTTAGGGCATGGGCCTTCATAGCCCAAGACTAGAAAGCATAATTTGTCGTACAAACAATCCTTTTTAACATTTTAGACTTTTAGTGAAGGTTGAGATTAATTATGCATGCAATAGAATTATAGGTTAGGATTGAATTTAATAGCTAGTATAAAGAATTTAGTTAAGCTATTGACTGTTGACTCGTAGTTGCAACTTGGTACTATTATTCCAAATTTCCAACATTATGTAGCTGTTATATGACATTATGACCCCAAAACATTAATTTTTCTTATGACTTTGCACTTGCACCATGAGAAGGGAGGAAAGGGTAAGGGGTCCCTAACACAAGTGGTGAGACGCGGAGTGAATTTTGCCTTAGGGTTGCGGAAAGTTAGATTGCATGGAAACAAATATGAACATAGATATTGGCTTAGATAGTTAGATATGATACATATTATTAAGTGTTGAACATAGAGATATTGGACGTATACTCGTATAGGTATGATACAATTGTGTCCATGTGGGAGGCCATGGTATATTTCAACACTAGGTAATACTCATACATATAATAAAGGCTATTTATTATTGCGTGTTTAGTGGTATAATATTTTAAGACATTAGAATTTCCAAATAGCTTCATCTTTTTTACTGCGTATTATGTACTCTGTAGCTGCTTACACATACTGTATTAGATACATCCAAAAAAAATGATTTGTACTATCTTTTAGGGCTATCTAAATCTTACGCCAAAAAATAAATAAAATGATAATAATAATTTGATTCTTGTGTTGTTTTTGCAGATTTCTGACTACACAAATATAAATCCAGTAAACACAAAGCAACAAGTTGAGGAAAGTATGGGTGGATTTGGTTCAGAAAGTAATTCAGTAATGTGGGAACTTCATCAACAAGCTCATAATGTTGGACCACTTGTTTCTTCCCATATTCCTACTAACTTTCATCAGAGATAATTTTTCACATTTTATGGGAGCCCATCAACATGATATAAAGGTGTCTCCTACTGTCAAGAAAATGCTGCAATTTTGATTCTTCAAGAAAAACTAGAAAAAGAAATCATGCAATTGTACATTATCTCAATTTCCCATTATATATCACATATTTAAAAATTATTTTTGCTTATAAAGATTTTTAATACGTATTTACTAGTTAAATCGATAGAGAATCATAACCATAGACAATGCGACATTACATCCAATGCATATTACATATTTATAAACGCTTTTCCATTGTTATCATTTATTACCCGCCTACCAAATGGATCATTAGAGTTAGTGAACTAGTGATGAGTAGTTATAAATTGAAATTCGAAAACTAATAGGTAACGGAATTTAATACTACAAAAATATATTGGTAATGGAAATTTATACAGCACAATTGGATTAACTCGTAAGATAACTTATTTATCCATTAACAGCGCTGTTGACTGGAGAAGATTTGTTTACTACGCAATGCAGAAAGCGTAAAAATGCAGGAAGCTTATTTCATCGAAAATTGAGTGAAACTTGATAAAAAAATGAGGAAACGTAAACATTCAACTTGCTTAAAGACATAAAAGTTTAGATTTAGAAGAAAGCAATCTTGTTCATTATGAAAACGAATTATTCATCTTCATTCTTCTTAACTTGGAGTATATTACACGAGATTGAATATGATACCACATGATTGTAACCTTCAATCTTCGTTCAGGTGTGACAAGAAACGGCCTCGTTTTTCTTTCGAGTGTTCTTAACATTAAAGTAGTGTTATGGCTAAGATCCTTTACTACTAAACTGAGCATGGGAGTTTCTTCTCATCTTGCTCCTTTGATTTGCAAATGATAATAACTAAACTGATTAATTTAACTGCGAATAACTGCACGCATAAGTCTTTTAGACATCGGTTCGTGGCATATTTGTAGGGAGTACATGGGGGTGGGGGGAAATTAAAGTTCTTGATGTAAGAAATGTGATTATAGAGATCATATTTTCCTTTTCGAAGCTTACGCTGTTTCTTCTATACAATAACAATAAACAGGGTATACATCACAACACTGCTGCACACTTGAAAACAATCAACATGCAGCAATATGCAACCTTTTGATGTAGGTTTCCTCTGTCCTCTCACCCCCCAATTCTTCACCTTTTCTATTTTGAGTTCTTATTTTACAACCCTTAGCGGGAAAAAGGAAAAGCCGAGGGACTAAAAAAAGAAATAAGAAAAATAATATACCTGGGGGGAATAGATACAGGCTAACTAATAAAAGAATTTGCACCGGCCATGGAACTGAAACTCAGCAAATACGGCAAAAAAAATTTAAATACCCCCTGAAAAATGAAGGCAAAAAAGACCTATCGTTAAGAACATAAAATTTGTAAAAGACTAGATTATCGTAATAAATTATCACATACCAGTTAATTACCTTCATAATCACGGGTGTAACACACATTGTCATGAAGAGAATGCGAAAATTCTATCTGCTATATTTGTGCGGCATATAGGACATTCTGAACAAGCCAGTGAACAAGGTTTACATACTGCAAAGAGACCAAGCGTAACTAATTTTGAAAAACTGGCATAAATGTTGAACAAAGGTAAAAACAATACGGATAACTTACAACAAAAATGTCGGCAAGGAAGAAGGATTGCAGCTGTAGGTGATTCATAACAAACTTTGCACAGATGGGAATTTGTCTCTCCATTGCCCATATGTTTTTCTTTGTCTTTCATCTCTTGCATCCTTGCCTAATATTTACAATACATCAGTTACTAATGGACAAAAGCTGAATCACCAATATTTCTGCTCACAAAGTTCTATGTTAATGTACATGGTAAAAGTTTAATCCTGTCCATCATGAGTCATGAGACTCGTTACCATGAAGTACAATTCTAACAAAAACTGAGCATAAAATAGTCACCTTTAACCGAGCAACTAATGGCTCTTCGCTGGGAGCATCTTGAGCTGTTTTGTTGACCTCCAAAGATTGAGTTTCCTTGATGAAGCCATTTTTCTCTACCTCAGCAGCTTTCTGTCCGTTCGAAATATCCCCATTATCAAGCCTCTCATCAGACATAGACTCGTGAGCAGCTCCGACTTCTTTCTTCAACTTGGCGACCAGCACCCACATATTTGCCAAATCATTTTCAAGAGCTACCTCCCTTCTCTTAGCCTCTTCAACCTTTTTCCGGCATTCCTCTTCCACATATTCTTTGTCAGCCAAAGCAGCTTCAAGAGCTGCCTCCCTCTGTTTCCGTGCAAGTAGTTCCATTTTAAGGTCTTCCAGATCCAAATTATACGAGTCAAATTCATCATAAAATCCTCCTGATACATCATTACCACGACCAGGATATCGACCTTTTCTTCCAGCTTTCATGCCGTCCCCATGTTTCCGATTACCACCATTGGAAATTTGGGAGCCTCTGGAGTGACTAAATTCACGAGCAGCCTGCAATTCCTTTTCTAGTTTTGCATTCTGCAATGAAATTTTTGTTACTTCAGCAGCCAAGTTTTTCAGCTCAACAGCAGCAGCAGAAGCTAGTTCCTTAGCATAGGAAGCCTCTTCGGATAATTTTTGATTCTGCACACACAATCCACTATTTTCTTCCACTAACTGAACATGTTCCAGCTTCAATTTCTCATTTTCCATCTCCTGCACAAACAGAAAATATTAAATTCTATAGCTTATTTAGGTTAAAAAAAATTCCAGAGTCGACAATCTTAAATGAATAAGATAAAGATGAATTATCGCTATACAAAGAACAAAATGAATACAATCATACAGTTTTATAAATGGTTTGAAATTGTAAGAAAAAAACCACATAAATAACTAAATATAATTTAATAGATTGCACAGATAGAGTTTAGCTAAGCAAAGGGCTATAATTCCAATCTTCGAGCACACCTAATTTTCAAGATATCAACATGACAAACTCACATTATCATTATGAAAACTATTAGAGTCCATGAAACAGTGAACTATATCTTAAGAAAATTATTCACCTGTGACTGAACTTTCTTTCTCAATTCCTCAGTATACTCATCAGTCGTGGCCTGTTCAGAAGGCAAAGGAAAATCATCACCAGTTGAAGCCACATGCTTTTCCAGGGCATTCAATCGATCCAGTAGTTCCATATTTTCTGCACACTGTAAGAAACAGGAAATACAAAAGTAAGACTAACAGTGCATATAATTTTATTCTCCCAGCACATAGGAAACACTAAATCGAGACAAAAACTAAGTTACCTTATTTTGAAGCTGTTCCTGAAGAATCCGGTTGTCGGCTGTTTTTAACTGCAAGAGAAGATTAATGATGAATCCACTTGATAAAAATGCTTTTGTTAGAATTAGTCATTTCAACTCATCACAGTTTAAACCAATCGAAAAAGGTTTCATTAGTCATTTGTATAACAAGATCAACCATCAAAATGCACCTGTAGCAGACACAGAGGATGCTAGTTCAAAATGCTTAAACATATTCTATTGACTAGTCAAACACAAATATCCACGTCATAAACCATCAATCAGGATTCAGGAGTGCTCTCCAATGGCTAGTTGCCAAAGGGAAAAATAAATGATTACAACGCCAAATAACCAATAAACAAGTACCAACAAATTCTTGATGAGCTGATTGATGGAAAGGACAATAGCCAGAAGCATAGAAAATTATCATGCATATAGATATTCCGAAATGGTAAGTAATATTCACAGAAACAACAAAATTTGATGATGGAAAAAAAAAAAAAGCAAAGTTTACGTGAACATGCAGTGCTAAATGGTAAACAGGTGCATGTACTATGTTAGATACAATACAGTATCAGTATCACTTCAAGAGTACTGCAGCAGTAAAAAAGAAAACCATTGTCATTCAGACTTATATGCAAAGAGAAACATACCTCTAACTCAAATTCCTTTTGGCTACACTCGGTCTTTAATCTTGTAACAGTCTGTCACAGAGGAAGGTGAGATATTAAAAGACGACATCTTCGCACATGGCCCACTCACACAAAGTCCATGGAGTTGAGAGGGAAAAAAAGGATGTAGGCTAGAGAGAACAGTAATTCAGATTGTTCTAGAAGACAACCTGCTGCATATCAAGCAATGACGCACTTGCCACTGAAGCCTCACCACTCTGGATAATGCGCTGTTCTAGAAGCCTCATCTGCTTCCTCTTATCTTGGATTTCACATTCCAAATTGTGGATCTGCATTTCAGAGAATTATAAGAACATTAGAAATCAACATTAAATATGGGTACTCACATTAATGGATATATATACATTTATCAGGTAATCTAGAAATCTACAAAAATTTCACTTAGAAACAAGAGGCCATGACTTCATAATTTCATATAGGAGCACATGTATAGATAAAGTGGGTATCAATACTTTAAAAATATAAATGCACCCTTATAGGAAATTAATGTCCTAGGGAAATCCGAGAATATCAATTAGAGCAATCTAAAAAAGTGTATTAATAATGGTATTACAAGGAACTTAACACCGAAATTCCCCATCTAGTCTAAGCACAAGTACATATACTAAGACTGATTTCCAAAATGGTAAAACCTGTATGAAAAGGGCAACAAGATAAGCATACTTGGCTTTGGGCGGCATCGGGATCATTTGCAGATTGCTCAACCAAGCGTTTCAGTGTGCTTGTACTGAAAGCAATTTCACCAGCAAGCATCTTCACTTGCTCCACAAGAAGGTCCATCTCATCAGATGCAGTTATATCGTCCTGATACCCAACAAATACATGAATGCATAAGAAATTATAAGCAAACAACAATGATAATAATTAACAGAGAATTTTAGCATTTGTGTCACATGTAAAAGAGCACATATAATAAGTAAAAGCACACTTGTGCAAGAATTTCACAATAAATTGCAACATATTATTCAACAACATGATGAAATAGTGAGAAGGATGCAAACAGGGTAAAAAAAACAAAAAGTAACATTCAAAAAAAGCAGAACAAAAACAATGTTCAGATCAAAGAAGTATGGTCATTTATTTGGCTAATGAATTCAGAAATAAAGAACTATCTAATAGCTTAATTTCAAATTAATTTAAAACAAGCTGGTGGTACTTTGAGCAGGAAAATTAGAAGCCTTCATATTTTGATATTTGCAGCAACAATCA